TCCCTCCCAGCCCAGTCTGGGATCGCAGTGTTGGTTCCTGCCCTTGCTGAGTGCTGGATCCAGCCCCAGCCCCGTGTCCCTGTCCTGCCCCACCTTCCCAGGCTGGATCTCAGCAGGAACAGGAGTGCCTGGAGCCCTGTGTGTCCTGCCTGGAGCCCTGTGTGTCCTGCCCAGGCCCTTGCTGCTGTCCCAGTTGGGCAGGGTCCAGGTCCCCAAGGAGGGAGGTGGCTCTGGGATCTCCCCTGCCCTGCTCCACCCTCTTAGGAGCAGTGTGACAGCTCAGGGTGAATTGTGGCCTTTAGTGGCACCTGCCTGCTGATGACATGGGATTGTCCATTCCTCCCTGACCCCGTTCCTGCCTGAAACCTCGGGCAGCATTTGGCTAATTGGATGAGTGGAGCAGATCCTGCAATCTGGGTCAAGTCCTTCATCCCCCCGGGGCTCCTGCAGTGTTTTCTCTGCTGCTCCAGGGTGACTGAGCAGGAATTTCACATCCACTCAGGGCTTTTTATAGCTGACCCACTTCTCTGCCAGGTTTGCATTGCAGGGGATGATTCCCTGCTGGCAGGAGATGTGCAGCTTTTGCTGGTGTCTGTGGCTGCAGCTGGAATTGTCCCCCTGGGAGGGAATGGCTGGGAGCTGAGGTGTAACCAGATGTGCAGGTTTTGCTGCCTGTCTCTCCAGAGCATGTGCTGATCCAGCTGGAAACTCCTCAGCTGCTGTGGATTTGTGGATTTAGGAAATTTTAAGTTCTGTTTTCAGGAAGGAACCCGAGTGTAAGTGCTGACTGTGTTTATAACATTAGGGTCCAGTTTTAAATCTGACTTTGCATAAGGGAATAACCAACAGGAGGAATTCCAAAGTGCATTTTTGCCAGAGCTTGCTGAAAGCATTCACTGTCTGAGGTGCTCCTTCATATCCAGTCTTGGAGGCTCTCTGGATTAAACCTTGATGGGCTGATTGCTGGTAAAAACAACCCCAGACAACCCCAGATATTTCAATCACACCTTGGAATTCTGAGCACTGGCATGATCCACTGTCACATTTCCCTGGGCAGAGCTTGGGTCACTCAGAGCTTTCCTGAAAGCAGCAGCTGGTCCTGCAGGCAGGGGAGAGCCGAGGGCTGCCCAGTCAGGGGGGTGTGCTGGGCAAGGGCAGGGCAGGGTGGAAATCCCACACTGAGGGTTTCAGCCACTGTTCCATGACTGAGTCCTTGCCCTGGTGTCATCAGTGGGGTGTCCTGTGTGTCCCCAGTGGTGTCCTGGCTGTCCCTGTGGTGTCCCAGCCCCGTTCCCTTCCCCAGCCCCGTTCCTGCTTGTCCCCCTCACTGTCTCCAGCAGGCAGCTCAGACTCGTGGTACAGGTATTTTCCTTCAGGGTTGAGAGGACACTCAGTGTGGGTCAATCCTTGTCCCACAGGGAGCTGCTGGAAGTGCAGCTTTTTCCTTAGGGGGGCTCTTGAGTCCTTACATTCTGTTCCAGAGTTTGGAAATGCCGGTGGGCAGCACGGCCCGAGCACGAGGGTTCCTCTGAGCTGTCATACAAGCCTGGGACACACCTGGGAGCAGAACTTGGAGTTCAGCAGAACCATAATTAAAAGAGCTTGGAAGAATTATTGAGTTTGGGAAAGCTCTCCAAGCCCACGGAGCCCAACTGAACATGAAGTGAGGAAATGGATTTTCTCCTGACCATGTTTGGAACCACAAGACAGGGTCAGCAGGAGTTGGATTGAGATGGATTTTTTGGGGTCCTTTCCAGCCCAAACCGTGCTGTGATTCCTGCACCAGGACAGTCTCCAGGAGCACAGGGATGAGTGCTGTCAGCCAGGAGATTTGTAGGGAGAGCTCCACTGGCACAGGGTGCCCAGAGCAGCTGGGGCTGCCCCTGGATCCCTGGAAATGTCCCAGGCCAGGCTGGACATTGAGGCTTGGAGCAGCCTGGGACAGTGGGAGGTGTCCCTGCCATGGCAGGGGTGGAATGGGATGAGTTTGAGAGTCCCATCCCACCCAACCCATTCTGGGATTGATGTTTTTTGTTGACAGTGAGCTTGGCTCAGTTGGTCAGAGCTCTGTTGCCTCTCAGACTGTCCTGTGACACAGTAGGATTTTTTTTATTTACACACAGTGACTAAAAATGACTCAAGTGAAAGATCTGATACGGGATTAAAAGGGCAGAGGAGAGGGGAGAAGATACTTAAGGTGTATCTATTCTTTAAAGGCTTATCTGTTTTGTTAAGAGTCTCTTTAATCCTCGTTCCTGGTTCTTCTGGATCAGTTTGTCTGGCAGCAGGAGCTGCTGCTGCAGCTGGAGGTGTGAACTGTTGTGTTTATCTCAGGAGAGGCAACACGAAACATTTCCTGAAGAGCAGGAGGTGAGGCTGGTACAGGGGAGTGCAGCTGATCTCGGGGCTGGGCCCTGCTCTGCTCCTCTCCTGCCTGGGCCCAGGGCTGGTGTTTGATCCTGGCTTAGCAAAGCCCCGGTGAGGCAGGACACACATGGGGCAGCAGCTGGGTTAGCACGGATCATTTTAGGGTGGGAAAGAGCTCCAGGATCAGGGAGTGCAGCCTGATGCTGGGCTCTGTGCCTCGTTCTCCGTGTGCTTGGGGGATTCTGGGACTTTTGGAAAAGCCCTGTGTCCAGCATGGGGGAGACAGGAGAGCCCTGGAGGGGCTGGAGCGTGTCCAGGGCAGGGAACGGAGCTGGGAAGGGGCTGGAGCCCCAGGAGAGGCTGAGGGAGCTGGGAAAGGGGCTCAGCCTGGAGAAAAGGAGGCTCCGGGGGGACCTTGTGGCTCTGCACAAGTCCCTGCCAGGAGGGGACAGCCAGGAGGGCTCGGGCTCTGCTCCCAGGGAACAGGGACAGGACAAGGGGAAATGGCCTCAGGCTGGGCCAGGGCAGGCTCAGGCTGGATATTGGGAATCATTCCTGCATGGAAAGGGCTCTCCAGCCCTGGCACAGCTGCCCAGGGCAGGGGTTGATTCCCCATTCCTGGAAGGATTTAGAAGCCCTGTGGATGTGGCACTTGGGGACATCAGCGGTGGCTTTGGCAGTGCTGGGGGATGGGTTGGGCTTGGCGATCTCCAAGGGCTTTTCCAATCTAAATAATTCTGTGGTTCTAGGAATCTCCTGGAGAGCAGAGACACCTGGCAGAGCTGGTTGATCTTCCCAGAGCAGCCCAGCAGGACTGGCAGGAGCCAGGCAGGGGTGGCAGGAGGCCAGAGCCATCCAGCCCATCCTGCTGGGCTCAGGCACAGGACAGAGCCCTGTGCCAGGAGCACTGGGAAGGGTTACCTGGGAGAGGTGCTGGGTGTCCTGGGACAGGCAGGGACAGAACTGGAGCAGCTTTTCTCCCCTCTGCCTTGGCTGCCTTGGTGTCCTGTGGAGCGTGGCCTTCCCTGGCACTCTGGGGGTGACAAGTTCATGGATTCAGCCTGAGCCACTTGGGGCTCATCAGGAGCACCTCCAGGGAGGGAAAGGCAGGGACAGCACAGTGCCCACGAGGAAGATGCACAGTTAGAGTTTGGTGTGGTAGAAGTGGCCTGAGCTCCCTGTGGATCTCACTTCTCTCCTGATTTTGCCTCCTGCAGTGAAAAGGTTGAAAGCACAGATGGAATGGAGATATCCTTAATTTCTGCCCTTCCCTGGGCTCCCAGCTTTGGGATCCAGCTCCAGGCTGGTGGTACAGGGTGAGCTGTCCCCTGGGCAGGGCTGTGTGAATGAACACGAGTTAGGGGGTGATGGAAACCCAAACCTGGCTGAGATCACTCTGCAAACACCTCAGTCCTGGATCCTTCTGCTGTGGGGTCTGAAGTGGCAGTCGAGCTGGAATGTGAGGTGGGATTTGCCCCTGCAGCTGCAGCAGTGCAAACAAATCCCACTCACATCTGGATCCCTGGCAATGCCCCAGGCCAGCATGGACAGGGCTTGGAGCCACCTGGGACAGTGGGAGGTGTCCCTGCCATGGCAGGGGTGCCACTGGATGGGCTTTAAGGCCCATTCCCACCCAAACCATTCCATGACTCTGTGAAAGTCAGGCTTTAACATGACTTAACAAGAGATTTTCCAGGATGGGGCCATCAGTTGGAGCTTCCAGGGCTGCAGATGGGGCTGAAGGTAGGGGTTTGTTCTGGGAGCAGGGAGATGCTCAGCAGAGCCCTTTCCAGGGGAGCTGGGTTGGGATAAGCCGGTGTTCCCTGGGGAATGAGGGGCAGGACCCAGCAGGTTGTGCACAGCTGCTCAAGAGAGGAATGGAGAGCGCTCCTGTCCTTGTGCACAGTCACTGTGGGCTTTGTGCTGAGCCTAAGCCAGGCCTGGCCTTTGATGCGCTGGGCTCGGGTCAAAAGCTGATGATTAAGACGGAAAGGAGGCATTTCCTGCCCATCCCCCTGGCCAGCACACACTGGCCTGAAATATCCCAGTGACGTGGGGTGAGTGGCATCTGCATCTCCCTGGGCCCTGCTGCAGCTGCACTCCTGCCTGCCTGTGCCTGGAAGGGAGCACGGCCAGCCCAGGCAGCCAGGGAAGGGCTGGCAATGTGGCACTTCCACAAAAGATCCCTTTTCATGGGCCAGAGTCAGGAACTTTCTGTGTGCAGAGAGTTTCAGACAGCCCCAGCAGTGTCAAACGCCATTTCCTTCAGCTTTAACACTTCCACCACGCTCCCCTGTAGCTGTGTCAGCCTAAAGATTTGGGGTTTTGGACAGTTCCTGCAGCATTCCCAGAGGGGTTCCTGGCTGGGAGAGCATTTCATTCTCCAGGGAGTGCTGTCTGAGGCAACACACTGGAAATAAAATTGGGAATTGCACTGAGAGAAGTCCTTTAGCCAATCTCTGGAACCTCTCTGCTCCTTCAGGGGGTGGTGGGGAGGTGGGGAGGGTCTGCAGTCCTCCCTGGGTTGTGTCCTTGGAGAAGTCCCAGGTATTAAATGGAGCTTTTGGTGCAGCTGTAATGTAAATTCACAGTGCAAAGGAGTAACTCCCTCTCCATCTGCTCTTGCTCACCAGGTCCTGGAGAAATACCCCAACACGCCCATGAGCCATAAAGAGATCCTTCAAGTTATCCAGAAAGAAGGACTTAAGGAAATCAGGTGAGTTGAGTGGACCAGGAAAACCCACAGATGGTCTGGTTCAGTGTAGTTTGCTGTTTTCCCCAGCTCCTGAGGAGTTCTGGGACTGAAATGTTGCAGGTTTGGGGTGTGGGTCCTGTGTAGCACCAGTTCCCCAGTGAGCTGGGTAAGCTCATCCCTGATTCCCACGTGTGCAGGATTTGGCTGCAGCTCTCTTGTAGGATAACCCAGCCCTGGTCAGGGGCTCCAGGGACTGAGGAAAAGGGAGAAATTTTTAATTTATTCTTTAAAAAATATAAGTGAAAGGTGAGTTTGACCTAAGCAAAACTCAGAGTTACCCAGGGAGTAGCAGAGCAGCCTCAGTTAAAGGTTCTTATGTAGAAAGCTTGATCCCTGGTGCTGTTCTCCTTTGTGCTGCCTGCAGGGGTTGTGATTATTCCTTAGGGACATTCCTGGGGCCAGCCCCATGGTATCCATCAGTCTGGGCATGGAGCAACTCCAGGGCAGCTCCTGAGCTGCTCAGCTGAATTCCAGAGTCCTGGCTCTCCAGGATGAGAGATCTCTGCCAGGGATGAGAGATGGGAGTCAGCTCCCAGGGATGAGTGAGGAACAAGGATCCATGCAAAGTACAAAGTATTTCTTCTGCTTTCTAAGAGCAAAGAAAAAGGGAGAGGGGCATAGGGAGGATGAGCTGGGCCTGCTTATCTATTTTGGAATTAAGCAGCCATCCTAAATTTGTCCTAATTGTGCTTTCCACTCCCCTCTGCCAGCTGGATCCAGCAATCCATTTGCTTTGCAGGAAATAGCCAAGGGCCAAGTGCAGGAATTGTGCTGGCCCAGCAGCATCTCCCACTCGAGCTGAGGATGGCACATTGCTCTGGGAAATGAGGGATTTACCCTTCACAGGGACTCTGAATGACCTCACCCAGCTCCAGTGACCAAAGGGAGGTTCAGCTCCTCCCCTGAGGGTGGGACAGCTTTGCCAGCCCGGGACAGCTGCAGCTCTGTGCTAAACATTGTTAAACTAAATACTGTTTGTCCAAATTCACAAACTGCAGCTCAGAGTCAGCCTGGAGGGGCACTGGTCAGGGCTGGAGCTCTCTGGTCAGGGCTGGTGGCAGAACACAGGGGCAGCAAACACCCAGCACTGACATTGATGAACCTTCTTAGCAAAATTCAGTGGGTTTTGGGCAGAGCCTCAGGCAGGAGCCCAGGGGGGACCCAGAAGATCCAGTCTGTGCCTGGTCAGGGCAGATTTTGAACCAAACAGCCAAAAAAATCAGAGCAGAAATGCAGCTGTGCCTTTCATCCTTCTCAACCTCCTCCTTTTAGAGCTGATCTGGGGCTGAGCCTGAGCTCTGGGAGTTGTTTTCTTCTCTAAAGGAGCTGCCTTGAGCACCAGGATCTCCAGTCCCAGAGGTGTTTGTGGGA